AATTAGGAGGTATTAGTTACCGTGGCCGGAGGAGGGGGAGGGGCAGGAGGGGTTGGGGTTGTGAGCCGTTTCACCTCATTTGTCACTAGCAGTAGCGCCTCCTACAACTACAGAACAATGGCAGATGTATGTGTCTCCAGGCAAACGTGAATATACCAAATAAAGAATAAGAATAAGAATAAAATGATTCATGACACACTCGTTATTTGACTGCTGCAGAGTCTTTCCACACCCCACCCCTCTCCCCTCCAGCAGACAGGATCCTGTAGAACTTATTTATCTAATAAAAGTCGGAAAAACAATAGAAACGATTCTGTGTTTTAGTCAAACTACGCCAAATCTCCCAAGCCCTGGCGTACCTAACCTAGTATTCCTTATAGGCTACCTTATAGGCCTGGCCCAACTAATGTAGGCCCATGTCAGTGGCCTAACTTAGCTAGGCCCCTGTCGCTGGCCAGACCCTGGCCTAACTGGCCCTTGACCTGCGGGCCTTGTCCAGGCCCCTGGCCTAGGACCAAGGCATCAATTCAAAATCTGAATGCCAATACGCCAACATTCAAATCTCAAATTAATTTTATAATGAATTTTACACAACAGAAGTCTATCGCTTACCGATTATACTACATGTCTTATCCTACTTACTCGATTACAATTACAAAAATAGGTACCTGAAATGTACATGTGGCTACTGAACTCATAAAAAGAACTACTGGTGTGGCGCTTTTCATGCCCGTTCCCATGTTGCATATCTTACATTCCCGTAGTACAGTAGGCCTATCATAAGTCCAATGTCATAGTAAATTAACACTTTAATACAAAAAAACTGACTAAATTTTTTAATGAAGCTTTACATACTTTAAAGGCACCCTTGCAGTATTATTGGTTTACAATTTATATATATTTTATATATATATATATATATATATATATAATTAATTTAAAATATATATAGGGCCCTATGTATATATATTCTAATGTTTTAAACATGTTACGTTACTGTAATATATTGTTTTTAATATATTTATTAATTGCTTAATATTATAAATATAAATATATATGTTATATATATATTATATACGACTATATACTACCATAGGGGGAAACCTTAGCAATGGAGAGGGTTAGAAATAATACCTTAAGGCGAAAATACTGCCGCTAAGGGGAAATTTTAACGAAGTTAAGGCGAAATGTACACAAAGGATTTTTCACCCTATGAGTTAGGAGTAGTATATATATATATATATTCTAATGTTTTAAATATGTTATGTTACTGTAATATATTGTTTTCAATATATTTATTACTTTTTTACTATTATATATATATATATTAATTATTATATTTATTTTTTTAATATTATATTATATATATATTATATATATATTCTAATGTTTTAAATATGTTATGTTACTGTAATATATTGTTTTTAATATATTTATATTGTAATATATTTGTTATTTATTTATATGTATGTATGTATATAAGTATTTACATTTGTCTATATTTTATTTATATTATTTATTAATTTTAATTTTTATAGAATGCATTAATATTATTTAATATACTGTAGGTAATAGAATAACTATTACATATATAAAAATTAAATAATTTATTCATATATATTTTGTTGTTAAATATTTATATTATTGCCATATATTTATTATATATTTATATTTATTATTACTAGTATTAACAATAATAATTTTTAACATGTATAACGACTAATGAAAAATGCATATTTATTACACTAGACCCTAGATACACTAGATAGGTCGTTTAGCCAGATATGTTTACCTACCTAGCCTTAGGCGGCCCTATAGTCTCATTTGCAATAGTAGTCCTATTACTTACCTAGCTACATGTGTTTTTTTTTTAACTTTTATGTATAAACATTGCTGCTGAAATGACCGTAGTAGAACCAATAACTCCCTCGTTGAACTAGCACTGTAATAATACACATCACAGGGGCGGATCCAGAAATGTCCAAAAAGGGGGGGCCGGAAGCGGGGGCCGAAAGTTGGGCCGATTGAGACAACACTGTCGTAGGGGGTCTGGGGCATGCCCCCGCGAAATTTTTGTGTTCTAGACGCACGAACATAACATTTGAGGCATTCTGGGCTATCAGTTTTTTCTTTTTCTCTCTTTTTTTTTCTTTTTTTCCCTTTTTTTTATCTCCCAAAAGGGGGGAGGGCCGGGGCCGGGCCGGCCCCCCCTAAATCCGCCCCTGATTATTAAATTGCAATGAGATCTATACATATATGTTAAAGAATACTTTAATGTGATGAATTTATTTGGCTATGGCAAGCAAGCAAAGAGTATAAAACTGCAGGATGTCTGACTGCTGGGGATTCTTTGGAACACAATCCTATTTCAAAAAGTACTACCCAAAAGGGGCGTGGCCTTTAAAAGAACGTAAAGTGCGTTCATATCGAACGCGTGCTGCGCGTTTATAGAATGTATGTTGGAATTCGAAACGCAGCACGCGTTCAATACGAACGCCTTTTACTTTCTTATGAAGGACACGCCCCTTCGTGGGAGTACTGTACTTAACGTTCCATTACCTGTATACAAAATAAGGGCAGTCGGACCTCTTGCAGCTTTATAGTATACTCTTTGAAGCAAGGTACAAAGTTGAAAAGGGCTGTACCGAGCTTTACGCTAATAAGGGTAGTTTAGTTTTTATGGAGAAGTATTCATGCAAGTTTATAAGTATCTTCTTTCATACATCTAAACATAGGCTAGAGATTGTTTTGCCTGAGAGGCTATGCTGTAATTAGGCTAGTAGGAGGCCTAGGCCTACTGTACTAGACTACTCACTGACTGATCCGTTGAGCACGACCCAGCAGGCAGACAGATTTGCTGCTGCTAGACTAGGCCCAAGGCCTAGTATTATTTCGGTGTACTACTAGGCCTAGCCTAGTTAGCCTAGACCGTACACCCAGATTGATTGATGGTTATCCGTAGTTCTGTACTGTATTGTGGTAAATAACAAGAAAATTTTTACCATATCCTATTAGTATTATTTATAATAATACTAATTTTTACCGTGTCAGTCAAGTGAGTGGTTGGGTCTATAAAACGAAGACCAAAAACGAAGATCCTTATTTTTTCTCTTTTATTTTAACGATAATACACTAGGCAATCACAAAATTTTTTTGAACATACGTTTCTGAAATTTTCAAGGGTCTTCGTTTTATGGACACCCTAGGCCTATTATATGGGTGTCTATAAAACGGAGACCGAAGACCTAAAAAATGAAGACCTCCAAGTATTTCTCAGCTATCTTATTGAAGTATTTCAAAATCATCATAAAACTATTGCCAAATACCTATTTCATCATTTCATCGGAATAAAATGAGGAATATCAAGAAGGGTATTTGTATTGTAGACACCCTGTAGGCCTATTAGGCCTATAGGTGTTTACAAATCGAAGACCAAAGACCCGAAAAACAAAGACCCACATTTTTTTTTTGCTTTTTGTAATGATACTAAACCAGGCTGTCACAAAATCATAATTACAATTACAAGATTATTTGAACTTTTGTTTTATAGACACCCTATATGGGTGTC